TTGTTGTTGGTTTCTGCGTTGTTACTGGTTTTGGTGTTGTTGCTGGTTTTGGTGTTGTCACTGGTTCCGGCATTGTTGTTTGTTCCGGTGTTGGATTTACTGTATTTTTTTTTTCATTAAAATAAGTGTGCATAACATATGAATTATCTAAGCACAAACTGCATGTAAATTTTTAAAACAATATACTTTTACAAAATGATGAGCTGTTGATGTTGTACATTTTGTAGTTTTAACAGATTTTGCAGTTGCAATGCAACATTTTACAGATTTAATTTACTCATTACAGTGTTTATGCTGTTGTGTTTTTGTGTGTGAATCTTTAGGCACCTCAGAGTCCGATCTGACAGTTCTGGGAATCCTGATTCGAAACTCAGAAAGTTCTTGATCAACATTTTTCTTATTAATTAATGAATTTACTATTTACTAAATCATTTTCTAATAATTTTCTAAATATCCATTTGTGCACTTTTATTAAATTACTTGTATACTAATTAAATACTTTTGGAAAAAAAATTATTATGTGTAAATAATTGAACACAGAAACACATTAAAACAATAAGGTTTTTTTTTTTTCTTCCAATATTTAAAAAAGCTTCAAGTATCCAAAAGTATTCCTGGCAAGGGCAGTGAGAGATTTTTCTCTTTTTTTCTTTTTTTTCTTATTTTCTGACTGTGTTTACATGAATTTTGCATCATAAAGTCATTTGGAGTAGCAAGTGCATTTGTTGTGGGAAATTACTATTTAAAAACATATTTAAAAAGCAATATGAATATAAAGAATAATGTAAAAAAAAGAAGAAAAAAAAAGAAATCAATAACATAAACCAGATTTAGTACACACAGGAACATCTTTCTGGTATGAAGGGGTCTGTAGAATCACTTACTTGTTTCTGCTGTTGGAGTAAATGTCAGATCACTTGTTACTGCTTTTGTCCTCTCAGTTGTCTTTGAGGTTGCAGGGATAGTAAAGCCTATGAAAAGCAAGGGTTTTGTTGATCTGACAAGTAAAAGCCTAATTTATTATGTAATGAATATTGTCTAGTAATTAGTGAATTTTACAAAATCAAAGTAAGTGTTAAACATACCTCTGAAGATTTTAAGTGTTGGTGAAGATGCCATGTAAATTGAATTGTATGATCACTTACTAGTCGTTTCTGCTATTGGAGTAGATGTTGAAGGATTGGTCATTGTTGTACTCTCAGCTGTATTTGGGTTTAGGGTTGAAAGGCTTGTAACATCTACAAAATCAGAAAAAATATAGGTCATGAATATTGCCTGGCAACTACTGAACAAAAAAGTAAACATGGTAACTGCTAAACACACCTCTGAAGATTTTAGATGTTGGTGACAATGCTATGTAAATAAATTAATATGATCACTTACTAGTCGTTTCTGCTATTGGAGTAGATGTTGGAGGACTTGTTATTGTTGTACTCTCAGCTATGTCTGGGATCTGGGTTGAAAGACTTGTAACATCTACGAAGTCAAAAATCAAATTCAAACGGAGATAGAATAAATACCTTTTTTGGTGTAACAAAAAAAACTTGAGTAACAATATAAAAATCTGAAACTGCATTTCAAGACCATCATGACCTGTGATAAGTGTAACACGTTTAACTGTTTATGCATTAGTGAATCAGGCCAGTGACTAAACGAACAACTTCACATTGTTTCTGTTAGTACAGTAGAGTGAAAACCATCTGTTATCTATATTGTGATTATATACAGAACAGGATGCAACGGGAGTAGTTCTAAATATAATAGTAGTAAAACCACAGTAAATGTTTTCCAGATAGTTCCACATGTAGGCTAATGCTCATTTCATATGCAAAGATGTTCAAATCACAGGGCAAAATTCATGGTAGAAAATAACCATTTATATCTACATTATGACTGTTTTTGATGAAAAAACATACTAAGATTATGACTGCACATCAGGAAACATTATAAAATAATAAAAAAATGCATTTGATTATCCATTTAACATATTAAGCCATGTCACATTTGTTGCTAATTTTACTGCAAAAATTCATACCTGCTGTGGTACTTGTTGCTGTTGGCACTGATGGTGTAGATACACTTATTGTTGTTGGGATTATGGTTGAACGTATGGGACAGCCTACAATCAGAATGGATATCAATTAATCTGATTACATTAGCTTTACTGTCATTCTACTTATAATTAGACTGCAAAAATTGGGCAAAGATGAATTTTTAGCTTGTATTTTAGCAACTTCTTTACCAGGTGGTGGCCGGCAGAACGCCCCGTCAGCTGGAAGAGAAGTGATGCATCTGCAGGTATCATTTTGACTGGGGCCACAAACACCATGTTTAGAGCATTGTTCAGAGGACCAAACGTATTGATTCTCACACTTACACTGGGTTTTGTTTGAATTTGAGAGACAAACTGCAAATTGAACAAATTGTTAAGATGATGGAGAATACGCAAAGAAAATAATTTTCAGATTAATGTTGACAGAATGGCATTACACAGCTTATACTTCTCTTACCTGTAGTGATAGCTGCACCAGAGATTTTCATGTCTTTTTTGATGCACATGGGGAATTTCTGTCCAAGAATCAAAGCCCTCAAGCGCTCTATCACAGCTTCTCTTGAAGCATTGATTTTTATGTCAATGGTGTATTTGAATGACTTCAGTGGAGCTGCAAAAATTGCGTAAAGAGTAAAATAGTCAACCAGTAAAAAAACTCCATAAACTTTTTATAATCATGCCAGTTGTCAGCTTGGATTTTAAATAAAGAGAGACTTCTTTACCAGGTGGTGGCCGGCAGAACGCCTCATCAGTTGGAAGAGAAGCGATGCATCTGCAGGTATCATTTTGATTGGGGCTGCAAGCGCCATGTTTAGAGCATTGTTCAGGGAACCAAACATATTGATTCTCACACTTACACTGGGTTTTATTTGAATTTGAGAGACACACTGAAATTAAACAAATTGTTAAGATGATGGAGAATACGCAAAGAAAATAATTTTCAGATTAATGTTGACAGAATGGCATTACACAGCTTATGCTTCTCTTACCTGTAGTGATAGCTGCACCAGAGATTTTCATGCCTTTTTTGATGCACATGGGGAATTTCTGTCCAAGAATCAAAGCCCTCAATTGCTCTATCACAGCTTCTCTTGAAGCATTGATTTTTATGTCAATGGTGTATTTGAATGACTTCAGTGGAGCTGCAAATTTGGCCAAAAACAAAAATAAATATTGCTGCAAGCCATAATTAAGGGGCCAAGCACAAGAGAGGCAGAATGAGGAGCAAGCATGGCAGAGAGGTTCAGGTCAAATGCAACAATGAGTAATTAAAGATAATTTAATGTGATTTTACTCAAACTGGCTGAAAAATCATAAATGATGTCTTTAGTAACCTGATTTAATGATTAATCAATTTTGACCAATAGGTGGAGCCGTTACCAAATGAATGTGGTGTGGTCAGTGTGAGGTGACAATGACATACATAAAGTTTGGTGTTAGTGTGTCATAGCTTTGCAGATACAGCCTGAGATGCAGTTTGGCATCATGCCATCAAATTTGTTAATGCAATAAATGAAAACGGTTTTGATTATCGACATGAAATCCATAATTTTTTTGCCAGCATACTCTAAAGATGATTTTGGTGAAAATTGGTGACTACAAGTCTAGCAGGAGTTTGAAAAAGTAGGTTTTCAACAATTCAAAATGGCGGGCAGGAAGTTCAGCCGATTATGGCATAATTGGTATTGATGTTCTTGGCATGATCCAAGGAATCTATCAAGACTAGTCTCGTGACGGTAGGCAAAATGATTCAAAAGTTATTAGTGTTTTTTGACAATTCATTATAATTTTTGACCACAAGGTGGTGATGTCACAAAACTTTTTGGGTACCTTCAGGGCATGGTGCCGAAGACACATAGCAAGTTTAAATATAGCATTTATTTTTTCAAAATTCAAAATGGCCAACACCCAAAAATGTCCGACATGGGAAAATTGGGTACCATTCAACCCAGCATTCTGCTCTGAATGTAAAGAGTCCAGTCTTGTGATTGGTGATTTGGCCACACCGTTCAGATGTTTTAAGTAAAAATAGCCATTTTTCATATCTCTAACAAGGTGGAACTGTGCTGAAACTTTGTAGGTAACCTCAGATCATGGTTGTCATAGCACGAACCAAGTTTGGTCTGAATATGCTGAAGCGTTGCCGAGATATAGTCTCACATCCATTTTGGCGAGCTTTTCGACAAATTCATTTGTGCAGTATTTGGAAACAGTTTGATTGATTAACTTAATTTCCATATTGTTTAGTTGATATGGTAGAAAGGTGATATGGTTCGATTTTCATGAAAAATTGACAAAAAAGTGTAGATGGAGTTCCAAAAAACAGGTTTTTCAATAAATTCAAAATGATGGAAAAATTTTATGATGGAAAATAAAATCATAGGGTGCATTCGAATAGTCTTGATCCAAGGAATTAGAGGGGAAAAATTTTTTTCTAGCCCTTACGTTTCAAAAGTTATTAGCACAAAGGTGAGTGCAACTTAGGCTCTAGAGGGTTTGAGTTAGAGACTCCAAAATTTTGTTAATGAAAATAATAATAATTAATTATTTAATTAGTAAAATAATAATTACAAATAAGAAGAAGACTAATGGATACAGTAGGTGCCTACACACCTTCGGTGCTTTGCCCCTAATTTACTGGTCAAAATCTGCAACAAACTTTATGATCATGTCCGCTATCACCTTGGATTTGAAATAAAGAGAGACTTCTTTACCAGATGGTGGCCGGCAGAACGTCCCGTCAGTTGGAAGAGAAGTTATGCATCTGCAGGTATCATTTTGACTGGGGCCACAAAGACCATGTTTAGAGCATTGTTCAGAGGACCAAATGTATTGGTTCTCACATTTGCACTGGGATTTGTTCGCATTTGAGAAACACACTACAAATTAAACAAATTGTGAGGACACTGGAGAACCCATGTAGAAATATTTTTTTCAGATTAATGTGGACAAAATTGTATTACACCTCTTATACTTCTCTTACCTGTAGTGATGTTTGCACCAGAGATTTTCATGCCTTTTTTGATGCACATGGGGAACTTCTGCCCAAGAATCAAAGCCCTCAAGCGCTCTATAACGGTGTCTCTTGAAGCATTGATTTTTATGTCAATGCTGTATTTGAATGGCTTCAGTGGAGCTGCAAAAATTGTGCAAAAATCAAAATGATCAACCGATTAAAAAATCTATTAGACTTTTATGGTCAAGTCAGTTGTCAACTTGGATTTTTAATAAAGAGAGACTTCTTTACCAGGAGGTCGGTGGCAGAACGTCCCTTCAGTTGGAAAAGAAGCGATGCATCTGCAGGTATCATTTTGATCAGGGCCACAAACGCCATGTTTAGAGCATTGTTTAGAGGACCAAATGTATTGATTCTCACACTTGCACTGGGTTTTGTTCGCATTTGAGAGACACACTAAAATTAAACAGATTTTTAAGACATCAGAGAACACAAATATAAATCATTTTTCGGGATGAATGTAAACAGGATGGCATTACACAGCTTATACTTCTTTTACCTGTAGTGATGGTCGCACTAGAGATTTTCATGCCTGTTTTGATGCATGTGGGGAATTTCTGTCCGTGAATCAAAGCCCTCAAGTGCTCTATCACAGTGTCTCTTGAAGCATTGATTTTTATGTCAATGGTGTATTTAAACAACTTCATAGGAGCTGCAAAAATTGTGCAAAAACGACAATAATCAACCAGTAAAAAACTCTATTAGATTTTTATGCTCACGTCAGTTGTCAACTTGGATTTTAAATAAAGAGAGACTTCTTTACCAGGTCTTCGTCTGCAGAACGTCCCGTCAGTTGGAAGAGAAGCGATGCATCTGCAGGTATCATTTTGATTTGGGCCACAAATGCCATGTTTAGAGCATTGTTCAGAGGACCAAACATATTGATTCTCACACTTACACTGGGTTTTGTTTGAATTTGAGAGACAAACTGTAAATTCAACAAATTAGAAAGATATTACAGAACTTATAAATAATTTTTTAGATTAATGTTGATATAATGGCATTGCACCACTTATACTAATACTTCTCTTACCTGTAGTGATAGCTGCACCAGAGATTTTCATGCCTTTTTTGATGCACATGGGGAATTTCTGCCCAAGAATCAAAGCCCTTAAGTGCTCTATAACAGCTTCTCTTGAAGCATTGATTTTTATGCCAATGCTGTATTTGAATGACTTCAGTGGAGCTGCAAATATAGCCAAAGATTAAAATAATCAACTGGTACAAAACACGACTGGACTCAACTTGAATTTTAAATAAAGAAAGACTTCTTTACCAGGTGGTGGCCGGCAGAACGTCCCTTCAGTTGGAAGAGAAGTGATGCATCTGCAGGTATCATTTTGACTGGGGCCACAAACACCATGTTTAGAGCATTGTTCAGAGGACCAAAAGTATTGATTCTCACACTTACACTGGGTTTTGTTTGAATTTGAGACACAAACTGCAAATTGAACAAATTGGAAGGGTATTAGAGAACTCATGTAAGAATTTTCAGATTAATGTGGATAGAATGGCATAACACCACTTATACTACTAATACTTCTCTTACCTGTAGTGATGGTCGCACCAGAGATTTTCATGCTTTTTTTGATGCACATGGGGAATTTCTGTCCAAGAATCAAAGCCCTCAAGCGCTCTATCACAGCTTCTCTTGAAGCATTGATTTTTATGTTGATGCTGTATTTGAACGTCTTCAGTGGAGCTGCAAAAATTGTGCAAAAATCAAAATAATCAACCGATAAAAAAATCTATTAGACTTTTATGGTCAAGTCAGTTGTCAACTTGGATTTTTAATAAAGAGAGACTTCTTTACCAGGAGGTCGGTGGCAGAACGTCCCTTCAGTTGGAAAAGAAGCGATGCATCTGCAGGTATCATTTTGATCAGGGCCACAAACGCCATGTTTAGAGCATTGTTTAGAGGACCAAATGTATTGATTCTCACACTTGCACTGGGTTTTGTTCGCATTTGAGAGACACACTAAAATTAAACAGATTTTTAAGATATCAGAGAACACAAATATAAATCATTTTTCGGATTAATGTAATCAGAATGGCATTACACAGCTTGTACTTCTTTTACCTGTAGTGATGGTCGCACTAGAGATTTTCATGCCTGTTTTGATGCATGTGGGGAATTTCTGTCCGTGAATCAAAGCCCTCAAGTGCTCTATCACAGTGTCTCTTGAAGCATTGATTTTTATGTCAATGGTGTATTTGAACAACTTCAGAGGAGCTGCAAAAATTGTGCAAAAACAACAATAAATCAACCAGTAAAAAACTCTATTAGATTTTTATGCTCACGTCAGTTGTCAACTTGGATTTTAAATAAAGAGAGACTTCTTTACCAGGTGTTCGTCTGCAGAACATCCCGTCAGTTGGAAGAGAAGCGATGCATCTGCAGGTATCATTTTGATTTGGGCCACAAATGCCATGTTTAGAGCATTGTTCAGAGGACCAAACATATTGATTCTCACACTTACACTGGGTTTTGTTTGAATTTGAGAGGCAAACTGTAAATTCAACAAATTAGAAAGATATTACAGATCTAATAAATAATTTTTTAGATTAATGTCGATATAATGGCATTACACCACTTATACTAATACTTCTCTTACCTGTAGTGATAGCTGCACCAGAGATTTTCATGCCTTTTTTGATACACATGGGGAATTTCTGTCCGTGAATCAAAACCCTCAAGCTCTCTATCACAGCTTCTCTTGAAGCATTGATATTTATGTCAATGCTGTATTTGAATGGCTTCAGTGGAGCTGCAAAAATTGTGCAAAAATCAAAATGATCAACCGATAAAAAAATCTATTAGACTTTTATGGTCAAGTCAGTTGTCAACTTGGATTTTTAATAAAGAGAGACTTCTTTACCAGGAGGTCGGTGGCAGAACGTCCCTTCAGTTGGAAAAGAAGCGATGCATCTGCAGGTATCATTTTGATAAGGGCCACAAACGCCATGTTTAGAGCATTGTTTAGAGGACCAAACGTATTGATTCTCACACTTGCA